GGGCTATTAGGCGCCCGCGGCGAGGTCGGGAATGGCGTCCCGAGTGCTTCGGGCTGTCTGAGGAGAAACGTTCCCCTCCCGCGCCGTTTCTGTGACTGGTTCTGAGTTAAAATAAGCGAGCCCTGTAAAAAAGCAGAAATAAACCCGTGCTTGTGGAGCGTGTGCTTAGTTTTGGGTCGTGTTTGGGTGGTTTTGGTCAACTTTATGTTAAAGCAGGTGCAGCCTAATAACTCCTGGAGATGTAGAGCGGGGCTTGGGTTTGCCCAGGAGGAGGCCCTCCGCAAGGGGAAGCTGTGCTTCAGCCTTCTGGTTAGTGCTGCAGAGGCCTCTGCGAAGCTGCCAGTTGCGCTGCCGCTCACGCTGTGTCGGCTGGCAGCACTTTTTTCTCGCGTGGGCCCAAGACGCTTGTTCATGGAGGCCTTCCATCTGCAGGCTCTTCCAGTGGGCAGCTGACTAGCTGGAGGAAGAACCTGCCTTTGGTCCTTTCAGGAAGACTCCAAGATTTAATGGTGAAAATGCCACTCTTTTTTTAAAAAAACTGAGAAATATGCAGGGTTAGTTAACCCATGATGGTGAATGTATGTAGTATTTTTAAGTCTCACAGTTAATCTATGGGGAAAATAAAGGGTCTGTTAATGCTTATAGGTGGCAGTTTTGTCATGAACGTGAGTTTAGTGCTAGAGAAGCAGTACTTGATCATTGAATATTATCATATTGACTGTATGACTGTTCTGGTGTGAGGTGACATTTAACATCTATTTTTGGCTAAATGTAGGCTGAATTGGTAATTAGGATAATAATTTAAGATTTATTCCTAAGTTAAATTTCTTGAAAGATCTATAAAAATATGTGAGCATTAGTACATCCCCCTCTCGTAATTCTTGTGTGCATTTTCTGGTTATTCTTTGTACTAAAAGCAGCCTTTGCTCTGTTTGCACAGCATCTAGCCTAATAAGCTTTGGTGTGTGCTTTGGGCTCTTAAGTAATCCTAAAGGTCTATAGTTCCCAAAGCCTTTCAGGTTTATGGTTGCCGAAGTATTTTTTGATTTTTTGGGACTGTGGATGACCTTCAGCAGCTGGCAGAATTTAATCCACACACCCTCTTTAAAAAAGGCCTTTTCTTTTTTTTTTGCATGCCTATTTATTCAATTAATGAGATAATTTTGAACTTTTTTGTAAGGCTGCCTGTAGAACAGGGTGACTAAAGTGCTCTAATTAGGTGGCTGACAGCTGCATAATAATTAGCAGCCCACAGGCTGTTGTCTTCTGGTTTTCTTCAAAACCTAAGGTAGCACTTCTGTTTAGGAGGTAACTGGAAATCTTTATTCCAAAGACATTTGCAGGGCAACCATCCTTAAATAATACATGAGATTTTACTGCAAACTCAATGCTTGTCTAGTCTCAGGTTGAATATGGATCCACAAATGCTGATGTTGTAGGTAACCTGCAACCTGTAATGTCTGGGCTGTGGGTTCTGCTGTGATACCCTTTCTGGGTTTGCATGGTGTTGGTGAAAATAAAGTACCTGAAAGGCCTGTTAAGTGAACTATGGGGAAGGGTCGCAGTGATCCCATTACCCTAATGGAATTTTATTCCAAGAAACTTGAAAATAAACCCTGAGAGCAATGCAACGGACAAAGGGCTGCGTTGTCGAGCTTGTTTCTGGCCGTATTTGTGGGTGATGGTGCAGTGCTGCTCACCACGGAGAAACTCTAGAGTATTTCCAAACTCTGTTCTAAAAGTTCCACATGAATTTAATGGCAAGTAAATGATGCCAGCAAGAAATCCTTCACTTCCCATATTCATCCAAAGGCTTACTGAAGTTGGTTTTGCAATGTACCTTTGGTGCTAGCTGCTGTTGAGCTAAAGGCTTTGAGTCCGGGGCTCTGGGCGGGTGCTGTCTGCTATGCCAGCTCATGTACATGTTACCAACTTGAGACAGTTTAGCTCTGCTGCAAAAGGACAAATTTTCTCTCAAGTCTGGATTCTAACAGGTTTTGTAGTCGTTGACTGCTGCACCTGATTCTTGCCACCATCAGGCTGTAGAAGTAGGGTGCACACTTGCAAATAAATACTTGTTTTCATCAATTCTTTTCAGAAATGGCTCAAGAAGAGATGGAAGTTGATCTCCAACCAGTGGCCGGTTACTCTGTAGAGAACCTCAGGACGCTTCCCACAGAGCCCTCTGGTCATGCAGCGCTGTTGTCCTCTGCTCGGGTGCTCGGGGAAGGAGGAGGCAGCAGTGTTCAGTTCTTCCTACTGATGACGCTGTTGTCATACCCAGTGCTGGTACAGCGAGAGAAGCAGCTGCTGAGCCTGACCTGCAGTTGGGTCCTGCTGCGGCTCTGAATGCACTGCAAAGGCTACAGGGCACGTTCGATCCGTATAAAAAACCTCTGACACAGGTCACGCAGCGTCCGCAAGTGAGGAGAGCTCGCCGGCAACAGAGAATGGGTGGTTCCCAGAGGGCAGTCAGTGCCAGGTAAAGGAGAAATGAAATTGGGTCTGAACTGCGCTCTTTATCAAGTCTGGCTTCAGTTTAAAACTGCCTTGCTTCCTGGCTTATAGAACCCAGCTCATCCCAGGTTGTGGCCAAATTATGGGCAGCTCACCCTACCTTTTAAGCTTGATAATGGCACATCACTTGTCTCTTCTGGCAACATCTGTGCTCCTGTTAAGCGAATCCCCTCGTTTCTTATGCTGGCAGTGGTGGCGTTGACTCCTGAGCCCTTCTACGCTTTCCATCTTGCTTGCAGAGCTTCTGCTGCGCCATTCCCTCTGCTCTGCCGGATTCCTGTTGGTGCTCCCTGCAGCACTGCTGATTCTCAGCAGTTCTGGCCAGCATTTAGCTCAGTGGAGCTTGTGCTCTGTTTTGCATGTCAATTTGGGGATTGCCTGATTGCATTTTCTGGTGACAATTGCTGCAGAAACTTTCACAAACAAGCAAATCAGTATCTTTCTGAAGGTGGTTTTTTTGTTGTTACCTCCAGGCAAAGAAAGTAAAAATTCTATGTTTAATATTATTTGTGATGGGTTTAAAGGGTGATGCTCTCCAGCCAGAAAGAAATACTCATTTCTGGATTGTTTGTGTTTTGTGTCATCTTTGTAGATTTTGTAAATGCCAAGGGTAAAATTATAATTAGTTGGAGCATTGCCTTTAAATTTAGTGGGATCAAGAACTCCTCTACTCCCAGATGGTTGAACATAACTGAACTGTTTGCCTTTGGATTGCCTGGGGAGGCCACAGGAATTCTCCGGGCTAGAAGGCAACCTGACAAACTTCTCTTTTGAATCTGAAGGATAATTGAGATGATTAGCTGAACTAATGGGGGGAGAGGGGAAGATGTTTCTCTCCAGGGATAAAGTTCCGGTAGAAAAGAAGAGGGGAGGTAGAAAGACTAAGCACAAAGTAGTCAATGGAATGAGGTTCTGATACAAGCCTCGTGCATCTAATGTTAACAGTGGCTTTGGGAACCAGGTCTGAGTTAAGATTTTAGGAGTTCCTTAGGCTATTAGTGAACAATACTTGTATTGTCTTTGCTTTTCTTTTCTCTAAACCCACCACCACCCAAAAAGAAGACAATATCATTGATGCAAGGAGAAGGAGATTTTCTTTGAGCTGAGCAAAATGAATGGTTGCTGTGTGATACTGCTTATTGTTCATAAAGTGGGCAATTGCATGGGATTGCCCCTCCACCAGACAAGGTCTGTTCTGATCGCTTTGATACCTTCCTATTGCAGTCAGAGCCTAGGAATTGTGCCGCAAATGAGCATGGAGAAACATGCTGAGCCTTTAGCTTACCTGAAATAACTGGCTTTTATTTCTTGCTTTTCTGGACTTAGGGCAGCATTGGACAGTTACTTTCAACTCCGCAGGACCCAAGAGCCAGCTACAGGACCAGTTCCACATCTGGAGCCCTCACAGATTGTGAGGGACAACCAGGAACACAGCTCAGACAGAATCATAGAAGTGAGTGACTCTGACAGCAGCACTTCTGCTGAGGAGGAGGAAGCAGTGGAGGCTGCAGCGCCGCTGTTACAGTCAGCCCAGGAGACCCCTCCAGCAGCTAGCCCAGGAGGTTTGTGCTGTATTTGAGCTGTGTAGAGACTGATTTCAGAAACTCAGTGGGGAAATCCTTCTGAGCTTCACAACAGACAGTGCTAAGAGATCATTATGCCCACAGCTGACAGGAGCAGGTTGCTACTGCAAGGCTGTCTGGCAAGCAGGTCCTAAGAGCAGCAGCAGCAATGGGTGATTGCTACTGTAATGTTAAATAAAGTCTTTTTGCTATTTGCAGCTTATAAGTAATCCTGGAAATGTTCAGAATAACTTCAAGTTTAGAGATTATATTACTTACTACACTTCTGCTGATGTATGTTATCAAGGAGTATTGCTGAAGACATTAAGTCGTGCCTTGGAGATCAGCAGTGCTTTCAGTTCTCAGAAGGATCCGATTCAGTATTTTTTTTTTTAATGATTTGTGATTTCAGTCTGCTTCAGTTTAGAGTTTTCTTTTCATTCGTGTAACTTCTTGTGACACTTAGCTGAGGAGACAGAAGTGCTGAAGACGCTGGGCTTTTTTTTTATATTTCCTCAGCTTTTTCTGGCTCTCAATCCTTTATCCAGACACATGTTTACAGGCTGCCACGCATGTCAGTGACATTGTTTGTGATAAACATATGCAATTTATGTAAGAGTGACAAATAGTTAACTTGCTAGTCAAGGGTATTTATGCCCAGAGAATATGAGAACAAGGTTTGGTTTTTTTACTTCAGTCTCTAAGGAATATCCTTATGCTTCACTCTCTGCCCTTTGTTTTGTTTTTGATTGGCCAGCCCACCTTGACACCTTTTTTGAAGGTACATCTATGAGGTGTCTCTTGAAAAGATTTATTCTGCTTGCTCTGAGCTGGTCTTAACACGTGACAGGAGCTCAAGCTGTTAAGTGCTGTCTAATACTGTGTGAACATATGCTCTGTGTTGGGTTTTCTGGAACTCCCTTGTCTTTTTTGCTTATGTAAGCCACTGGTTCCTGTTCAGCCCAGAACCACAGAGGCTGAAAACTTTACTGACATTAGCCAGGGTTAGGTGGTACCTTTCTCCTGGACTGAGAATATCTGCCTTGAATACTAAGCGTGACTAATAGTTCTTCAGTTTTGTCAGGAGATAGGGGAGAGACAGTGATTTCTGCTCCTTTTTTTAGTATACTAGTGGTGGTAATCCAAACATAGCATTTCTGTGTGCCCATGCTTCAACAGAAGGGCTAACAGAGGCCCACCACAAAAACATATGGCCCAGCAGAATTGATAGTTCGGATAACTACCAGCTGGAAAACTGCTGAAGTCGGGGTGAATGGACAGATAGCATACGGTAAATGCTTTCTTGGCACATGAAATATGCATGCTTAGATTGCTTGGCAAAACAGCTTCTTCATAGTGGTGTCTGTCTTTCTCCGGGCATAATGATGCAGGGTTCTATCCTTAAATCAGCTGAGCTATAGACCTGTACGCAGATATATTTGTTTTCAGCAGGTCAGAAAATCCTGATAACCACTGCTGTCTTGAAAAGACCCCTCCTTTTTCACTGAATATGCTGAAATCCTTCTATAAAAGAAAGCATGAAGTTTTTCAGCACTACCATTGGTGAACAGAAGGGCTTTCATACAGACTGCCTGGTCTTCAGTATCCAGGACACTGATCTGAAGCTTTGTATGTAACCTGTTGCCCTGCTTACCTTATGCCCCAACACTTTCAGATCAAGTTGTGGAGAACTCCTTTTCCCCAAGTTCTGTATCAATTCACTCAAGCGATGTTTACTTTAGTTTCCAGCCAGGTCCAAGCAGAGCCACCTCAAGCTTTATCTCAAGCTTCTGCAGAACATGGAAGTCATGAAGATGAAGAGGCTGAAGTCCAGCAAAAGCAAGTAAGGTGACCTAAATGCTTCTGGAGACAGATTAAATATGGTCAATGCTGCATTTGTCTAAAAAAAAAAATAATTGTTTTTAATTTTTAATCCTAGAGGACTCCACTAAAGAAACTGGAACCGTCAGTTCCTGTTGCGCCACTGGATGAGGAGGAAGGGGACACCTGTGCCATCTGCTTTGAGCAGTGGACCAATGCTGGGGACCACCGGCTCTCAGCGTTGCGGTGTGGACACCTATTTGGTTACACCTGCATTGAAAGGTGGCTCAAGGGACAAGCAGGGAAGTGCCCCCAGGTAAAATGGACGTTTATGTGCACTGGAAAGGACTTGCTATCGGGTAACTTTTGCTGCAGGCATGATCACCATAACCATTACAGCTGCTTGCTGCATGAAGAATCCAGCTTTGCCTGCTGTCAGAAATAACAAAAATCACCGTTATTTTCATGTAACTAGGCCAGGAACAACCAGCACTGCTTTAAAAGGAGAATTCTGACCTGGATTTTCTCCCTGAAGTAGAGCATTTGTGAGTAGCGGACTCAGAAGTGTGAGAGTTCAAGTGCTAAACCCAAAATTGGCTTCAGTACACTGCACTGTGGTCCTGGAGTGTGAGAATGGCAGGCAGGTTCCTAGAAGCAGTTAACTGAGCATAAAGAATATATTATTGCACAAGAAATCTGTTTGAGAACACTTTTCAGTCAGTTAATCTTCTGTTTTGAACTGCATCTGCTTTTGCAGCTTTTAAGCAGATCAGGTTGTTCAGGTAGCTCGCAAAGACCGAACTGAGTAACAAGTAACATCCTTTAATGTCCACTTGCAAGTGGTAGATCTGCTTTTTAAGGTGCTGTCTTTGGTTTTGTTTCCATGGGTAATATTGATCTCTTTTGATTAGGTCTACACTTCTGTGATGTGCTTCCATTCCTTATTCCTTTTCTTCAGAAAGGAATGTTGTCAAAAAATAGGTCAATGAGTACCTTGTAAATAGGATTCAGTTCTGCTGCTTTCCAAGTCGGTGGCTGGAAGCCCGGGATTTCTTTGGCTTTGTCATTTTGAGAGCTTCCATAATCTTGCTTGACTTTGTGCAGGGTTCCTCATCTCAACAAGAAACTTCCTGTTGATGTGTGCTGTGATTAAACCTAAAGAATCACTGTTGCCATAGCAAAGGCCCAAACCTTATTTTCCTTATCCCTGTCAATTCTGTGTAAGCATTTCTTCACCTACTCCAGGCCCAGACAGAATTTTCAGAGACCTTCCTGGCATCTTTGCTCTTTGGAATTTTGTGACTGCTTTCTTCTTGGACCCTAACAACTTGTAAGGGGTGCTTGCTCCCTCTTTTTCTTCCGGTGATGTAATTACTGAAAATTTCCTCGGAGAACTTGCTCTGGAGAGCACCTTGAAGCTAAGTCATCTTTTCATTTTCAGTCACTGTCCTTTGCGACTGGGTGTTCTCTGACTGAATAGCACAAAGTTGCTGTGCGTAGTGCTCTGTGTACTAAGTGGCTTGAGTGCAAGCTACTGTGAAATTGCAGCATTCCTGATCCTGCCAGTGACAGCTGCTGGCTGCCAGGAAAGCTGTCTTAGCCACTTACTGCTCTGCAAGGCAGCTCTGTATGAAAGGAGGGGAGTTGTCTGGTCTGAAACTGTTGCCCATGATAGATTTGTGCTGCTAAATAATACAGAAGTTTGCGTTTTAAGTGCACATCGTAATTTAATGTTCAGTGGAGGCTACTTGATGCGAGTATTCATGTCCCCTTTTCTGATCAACAAAGTGTATTTGTAAAATAGTGAGCTTGCAGATGCCATAATGTCTTCCAAGTCCCAACTCGGGGAGGTATTATCTCTTCTTTTTAAGGTGAATGTAAGTACTAAACATTCACAGCCACAAAATTATTGAAATACCTGACTCCTTGTGTATCACTGAAATTGGTGGGATGTCACTGTTTCATACTGACACTGGAATGCTTTTATGGATTTGGGCCTATAGGACTTGATTACAGGAAAATAGTGGGTAAATAACAGAGTTGAGAGTATACTCAGGTGTTCCTAAATCCTTGTCTGTTGGCCCAGCAGCCAGTCTTGATGTTTTTAAAATAGAGGCTGGGCTGGTATTTTGGTTTAGATCTTTCTCCCACTTTTTTTTTTTTTGGTCCCTGGAACTTGCTTGACCATGCTGCATCAATGGTGCTTTAGTAGAATAAATTCAGTGGGAAGCAAGGAGGTGTGTTAGTAAAGGTGCAATAGGACACACGACCTAAATCGTTGTTGTAACCCCAACAGAGCTCTGTTGTCTGTGTGAGGAAGTGTCTTGCAAACGTGCTGTGTTAATGTGTGTATTTGTTTGCAAGTAGACAACCCCTCCCTTCAAAGCTATAAGGATTTTTCAAAATGATACCTAGCAACTTGTAGGGATGCATAGTTTGCATAGTTAAATTCATGTCGATGAACTGAACTTGTCTTTTATTTCAGTGCAACAAGAAAGCAAAACGTTCTGACATTGTGATCCTGTATGCTCGCACTCTGAAAGCGTTGGATACCAGTGAACAGGAACGCATGAAAAGGTACGCAGTCTCCATGTAAAGATGTGACCTCACTGATTGCACGCCATTGAAAGCTGCAGATTGACTTCTACTTCTTGCTTTAAGTTCCTGTATTGTGTAAAGCAATTTGTGCGTTCTCTTGGGGGGATTAGCATAAGTGTGGCTGGCTTAACAAACCAAGGCCTTGCTGGGTTGCACATGTCGTACATGGGAGGAGAATTTTCTTTGGGAACAGAATTCTTGAGTTTGCGCTTTGTGGCACTGAAATAGCAAAAGCTGTCTGGGCTCTATCCTGAAAAGTCGTCATGGGAGAACATGCAGAGCTGTTGCCAAAAAGCCGTATATTATTAATTCATCATTAGATGAGGAAAGCAAGGCATAGTTAGAAATGCAAGGGGGGTGAATAGCTGACCTTTTCTGCTATCTTTTTCTGTGTGTGTTAAACAGTAATCTCTAATGTGAATCACTTTCCATCTTGCTTTGTCAAACTCTTCATGTAGCTTTACAAAAGGTCAGCAAGCATTGCTATGACTCTACTTCCCCCTCCAACTTAAATGTAGAATTTTTTTTAAAAAAAAAATGCAGGTATGAAACTGGGGACTAATTTTTTTTCAGTAAGATGCTGTCACAGATACTATTCTAAAATTAAAAGGCTGCAGATATCTGAGTTCTCATGAATCTTGTAGTGAATAGAATTTAATTTGGGTCATCTTCACCTGTCTCTATACTGGTGTTCCTTCAATGCATTCTTTCAACAGAAACCTCACTATCCTGGTAATTATTAATCAGGAATTATTGAGGAGTAACAATCACAAAGGGAAAAATCTCTTTTGTCCAGATTGCCACTGCCTGATGGTGTTTGAGCTGTACCTTAGAAGGGTCACACTTCTCTTCCTGGATTAACACAGCAAAACAAACAATGAATAAGACTTTTTTGTTTGTTTTTCAAAAGCGCAGAAGGCATTTGGGTGTTTAAATCTTGTTACCTCTCATGGAGAGGTAGCTGTCTAACTACTGCTTGGGTCTCAGAGTCTTGCTGCAGCCCTTCCCCACTTGTCCTCTGCCTCATGTTGCTGTTGAGAGGGAGACAGCAAAGACTGCCTGGCAGTCCAGTGAGGTTGTTGGCAGTGGCTGCTCTGTGGCACGCAGCCACCAGTGGAGGACAAATGTGAACGCTGATGCATGCATTGATATTGTTTGGATATAGCCTTGAATTAGGTGTAAGATCATGGGGTTTGTTCTTAACATTCAAAGAAGCCAGCCTTCAGGTTCTGGGCATCTGTGCGAAGAATGTGTTGGTGATGGTTAAATACAGCACTTCTCCCATTTCTTCTGCAACAACAAAAAAAAAGTGATGATGCTCTAGGGAAATGACAGAATTCTGTGCTTTGTGAACATGCAAGGCTAGGTCTGTATGTTTAGAAGGTACTTAGGCAAGCTAGATTTCCCTGCACATGAACTACTGAAATAACTGGAATATTGCAGCTTTTGAAGTGCAGAATGCAGTGGTCAACATTATAGACTGAATGTACAGATAATTTTAAGGAATACTGGTGTTTCTTCCCCTCTTTAACTATGCCTTCCTGTCTAAAGCTTCTATGAAAGAGAAATGGAAGTATCAAAACTGCTGCTGCTAAATGTACTCTTAGTCTCAAGGTGAGGTAGTAAGTAAGGCTTCTACATGGGCCTGAAATACAAAATGAGTTACTGGTAATAGAAACAAGCTTGAAGATCTCGCTGTGTAACTGACATGGTATATTATGTGGACCTGGATGCTATATAGGATTTGCTAAGCTGGTTCTTTAGGAAAAAAACTAGTTTCTCTTGCGCTCTTCTCTATTTAATTAGTACATTTGGAGGGGGTGAGGAAAAAGTCTGTTGCTTCTATGGAAGAATACTTGAGTGAGTCATTCAGTACAATTGCATAACCAAGACGATCTCAAGGTGGATGTACTGGATGAGTGTGGTACCAGATTTTCTGTTACTTTCGAACTGACCTGAACAGGACTTGTGTCGGGATGAAGCCTGAGGATAGAAGTTGACAGCCCAGAGAAGCATCCTAGATAACATCTAGTCCTAAGGGTTGCTTTTCTCTTGTTCCTCCAGCTCTTTAGAAAAGGAGCAAATGTTGCGGAGACAGGCAGAGCTGGAATCTGCACAGAGCCGTCTGCAGTTGCAGGTTTTGACAGATGAATGCAGCAAACTCCGCAAGCAAGTTCAGGTGAGTCTCATGCTGCTAATAGAGAGAGGATTCCCTTTCTGTTCAAACTGTTGTTTGCGTGTTCCCTTGGAGGAGAGAAGACAGGCTTCCAGATTTGATAAGCAGCAGACTCAATTGGTGAATCATCAGGAGTATCCTAAACATCCCAGGTTGGTGTATTCATGTATACTACGTAACACCTTTTTTTTTTTTGGTGCTTCTAAGACTTAATTGAAGTTGCAAGTACAGCTTAGCAGTAGAGTTTTTTGGCTGCTGATATTGCAGGTTCCTCCTCAGGTTGTGTGGTGCCTGGAAAGGCCTGGTAAATAAAGCACCAAACTTATTCTCCTCATCTTTCACTTCACTGCATCAAAATAAGCTTTGAAAATCTCAATAGTAAACCTGTAATGGGACATGTTATCACTAGTTAGTCAAGAGCCTTTGAGAAGTAGTTTGTGAAGAGGTATGGCTATTTGCAAAACCAAAATAAAACAATAAAAATCCCTAATTTTTTTTGTGAAGGTCAGTCAACATTCTACTTAAGTGCCTTCTGGTACCTTGAGACCTGGCCTGTCAATAGGGTAGGCTGTATGCATGGACCGAACAGCTGCTGGGAGGCACCTCTGTCTCCTTAGAGTACAAGTTACTGAAAATAAATGACCGGTTGCTAAACAACTGCTTATTTTCTGGCTTATGCAATACTGCGGTATTTTGTAACCCATCACAGCTGCTTTTGCAGGATTCCTGGAAATTTAGGACTCTACTGGTGTTTCCAACTGTGAATTATCTGGCATGTTCCACCAGGGCTTTTCCAAGAGCCTGTTTCATAGCCAGTTTGCTACATTTTTTGTTGTATGAAGTAGATAATATCTAATCTCTCACTGTCTAGTAACTCAATTTTATGCTTTCTCTACTTCTGGATGTTTTTTTTATAGCCTTGGCTATTCACGTCTGTACATTAAGCAACATCCTCTTTGCTGAAGTCTTACTGTGTGATGTAAGAGAAGGCTTTATAAATTGCTTGCCTAAATTCCTGCATGAAGCTGTATGCTGATCAGACCTAATAAGAAAATTAGTTCACTTCAAGCTTTGGCTTAAGAAAAATGTGAATAAGATAAAACTGCAGGTCCATAATGTCCTCCTGCACTTATTTTGGTGTTAAATGATAGAGAGTCCAGTCTAACTGAATTGAAGTTGCATGTTACAAAGATTAAGTACCCTGTGTTCTTTAAGCTCTGTTTAAGTACTTATACTGCATTCATCACTGTCCTGTAGTGGTTAATGTGAATGCTGGAAGCGATTTTAAGGTGCTTGTTTATACTGTGAATAAACTGAAAGTAAACCAATTTGCTGGGGAGCAGAAAATCAGC